GGGGGGAGGGAGGGAGGGACTGAGCAAGTGTTGGTCTGTCTTGGATGTTCCTTTGTAAATCAGATGATATTTCTATGTGTGTCACATCTGGGTATCTGCACATATAGATGTGAGTATGTGTGTGCCTATGAAGGTCTCTTGAAGCATCTGTGTGTAGGAAAAAAGGGAAGGGAACTGGGAATCCAAGGTCCTGAGCGCTAGTTTTGAGTCTTTCACTTACCTTGGATAAGGCACCTAGCCTCGCTCAGTTTTCATTTCCTTTTCTGTAGAAGGGGATCCCAGCCTTGCTTATCTGGGGCTGGGGCAATGATAAAGCATGATGATGCTTTGTGGACCGTAAAGCGTACCCACGCACAGTGGGTCTGTGCGTGTGGTGTGTGGGTGAGTGCGTGTTTCTGTGAGAGTGTATTTTCAGGGAAGGACAAACCCTAGGTAATGTGTTATGCTTTGTACACATTGTCTGCTCCCTGTTGAGACCTTGGGGGGATTATTCCGTACGTAGAATTAGCCAGTCATGGAAGAGTGGGGGGAGGCTGATATAATGCTCCTGATGGAGGTGAAGGGAGAGGGGAGGCCAGGGTCAGGCTCCTGTGCTTTGTTCTGCCTTCCAAGGGAGGGGAGCAGGGTTAGTGAGGTCCTCGTGCGGCTCTTCCCCTGGCTTGGGCAGGGGCCCACTGAGGCCTGTGCGGCTCTCCCCGCTCAGCTCCCAGCAGTGCTCCCCGCGGTGCTGACCCGAGGGAGCAGCTCGGCCTCTCTGCACAACAGCACCATTCGCAGCACCATCTACCAGCTCATGCTCCACAGCCTGGACCCTCTGGGAGAAGGTAAGCAAGGCCTCCCCAGACCTGCGCGCTCCCCTGTCTACTCCTTCCCTCCTGCGGCTGGACAAGAACAGGGGCCTGCAAAGGGGAGGATGAGGGCAGAGCGGGGAATCGAGAGCACAGGAGAGCTGGGGTGTGAGGCCAACAGTCTGGGTGACAGGGCAGAGAGAAGGCATAGGACTCAACAGGAGCTAAGGTCCTTAGGTATCCACATCCCACGACTTCCCTGTCTCCGGGTCCCCTCCTGTAAAAGAGTTCACCTGTAGTTAGCGGGGCCCTGAGTGCTGTGTGCCCTGCTCTGGTCTATGTTGGGGTTGCCCTCAGTGACTTCTCTACGAAGCCCACCACCCACAGGTTGGCTCCAGCATCCCACAGCATCTCCAGCCAGGCAGCTTGGCACAGGCTGACTGGCCAGGGCCACTGCTGGGGGTACCTCCTATAGGGCCCCATGGCCCAGAAGCTCTGAATGGTACCTCCCTGTGCTCTGTGTTGAGCTCTGGAGTCCTACGAAAACTGCTAACCCCGTCTCCAGCCAGGAACCGCGAAGGAGCTGCCAGGACCTCTTTTGGGGGTGGTAGGGGGCCAAAGTAAAGTGGGGCCTGATGTCTAACTGGACAAGTGATGGGAGTAGCTGAGCTTCTCACCATCCGTCTTACCAAGTCCTGCCTTCTGGCCCCTTTCCCCAGAGGGCTGAGCTGAATATGACACCGGAGACTGACTCGTGAGCATCAGGAAGCACCTGGACTTACATTTCTGGTTCAGGGACAAATCTTGGGGTGGGGGAGCTCAGAATTTCCTCAGGCCCTGCAGATACAGTATTGGGTTTTTGGGTATTTAAAAGGGTATTGGGTTGGGAAAAACAGAGACAAAGACGAGATGATCTAATCTTCCTCCGAAAATCCTCAGTTGAGCCTCGGCAGACATTGAGAGAGGCCACCCCCAAGTATCGGTGCCCCTGGAGTTTTGAGAGTGGAGTTTGCTGCACCCGGCAGCCTGTGGGTGATTGCTGCTGGGGGCATGCCTGGCCTGGGGCACTGAAGGAAGCTCCGTCCCTGGGTTGGCAAAGTCCTGAAGATAAAGATCTTCTCCTGTATAGGACCGCAGGCCCCCCTGCCTGGGCCAATTCTGTGACCAGCAGCTGACCTACTTGTCCTAACAGGATTATGTGATGGCCGGGCCAGGCCCAGGTCAGAGGAGATTGATACTAAGTAGGAGATGATCCAGCTGCACTGAGAGCAGAGAGGCCATGAGAGGAAATGAACGCTGGGTGAGCCAGCGACAGGCACAGCCCCAGGAGGACAAGCGGGCTTCATACATCGTGGGCACATGTGGCCACGGAAAGGGCCCCGTGGCCGGTGACTGCTGATACGCTCTGGGCTCTGAGATGAAGTCCTGCTCGGAGAGGCAACTCTGATTCTACACCCCGAGGCCCCATCCAGGAGGCACTGGGACCTTGCCGAGCAGTGACAAAGGCCTTTGTTCCCAAGACTTTCCAGATACACATTTGTGTTTCCATCTGCTGGTTCCAAATGGCTCTCCAGATGTTTCCACCCTTTCCAGGTGTTCTGGCTCTTTCCACAGAGCCTGTGTGTGGTCTGAACTCTCCCCTGCCCTGTGAAAGGGCTTCTCTTCTCCAGGACCCTATGCCTTTTACGGTGATTTCACTTGGATGTGTGTGTATGCATGAGAGAGAGGGAGAGGGGACCAGAAAGAGGCCCTGCAGCTGACCTGCTTTCCTCAGTGTCGTGGGAAATGAGAGGTTAGGGTGTGCGAGGGGGGTCCAAAGGAAACAGGGGGACTTGGTTTTCCTTGCCAGCCCCTCCAGCCCACAGTCAGCCAATGGTCTCAGTGCCAGCCCTGGAAGCCGCGGAACTTTCCTGTGATAACAGCAACTCGTGTTGCCCCACAGAAGACTGCAATGCTCCATCCGTGCCAAGGGGGCACTGAAGTTGTGTGGATGAAGGAGGCAGTGGAGGGCCTGCTTTCTGACCTCTCGGCTCTGGGCCCTGACTCGGACCTGTGGGGCTGGCCCACCGGGACACTTCGAAGGGCCTCATGTGCCCGAGGGGTGGCTCTGCAGGATGGAGCCTCTTGCCAGAAGCGGCTGCAGCTGAACCAACTCTGAGAGTTTAGGAGACAGGCTGAAAGGAGGAAATTCAGACCTGTTTATATTTCTTGCCCGTCCTGGACCCAGGCAGCGTTTGGTCCCCGCAGTTTTCCGCGTTGCACCTTCTCAGTCTGTCTGTGTCATAAACCAGTGGATCTCCAGGGTCCCTTTTAACTCGAACCCTCTGGAGTGCTGGGCCCCTACAGAGTTGCTTCCTGGGTGGGACAACTGCTCTCAACTACTCACTTCATCCTTGTTGTAGCGCATGCTTATGTAATGCTTTCTAGGTGCCAGGCCCTGTTTTAAGCACATTCATGGATATATTTACTTATTCCTTTAACAACCCTGTAAGATTTTACAGATGAAGAATCTGAGGTACAGAGAGGTTAAGGAATCAGTGGGCTAGGTCCTTGGCTAGCAAGTGGCAGCACTAGGATTCAAACCCACTATTCTGGCTCCAGAATCCCAGCTAACCTAGCAAGATTTAATTGTACCAGTTAAAGCATTCTTATTTATTTTGTCTCATGGACCCCCACATCAGTGCTCTGTGTGTATCATGACGTTGCCTTTTTAGAGGGGGACACGAAGGCTTAGAGAGGGTATGCAGGCTTCCCAAGGTCACCCAGTGCTCACAGGAGAGAGCCAGCCTGGGCTCCAGAATATGTTCCACGGCCCACGTTTTATCACTTGTGCCATTGTCCTCACCCTCCGGGGCCACACAGCCATGAAGAGGACCCTGATGAGCCCCTGCACCTCAGTCTCTGTGCCTGTACCTTGAATTACCACGTAAAGCACATTTTGAAAGAGATTGCCCTCCTCATTTTTCTTGCTTCGCTGTCAGAGCAGCTCGATTGTGCACACAGTGCTCTGTAGGCTTCTGGCAAAGTGTATACACGGCGATGTGGAAGGAGGCCCTGCTTGGGCTCCAGGTACCTGGGGTCAGAAAGGGTGGGGCAGGGAGCTTGGTAGTCAGCTATTTCCCCTTTCTGGCCAGAGAAGGAGGTCTCACGAACATGGCCACCGGGAGTGCTCCTGGAGCTATACAGCAGAGCTTCTGGTAGATTCATAGAAAGTGAGCTCCTAAGGACCAAACAGATAATCTAGTTCACGGATGGCAAAAATGTCTCCCTGCCATTTTTTGTCCATTCCCTGCTCATTGCAGACATCACTGATCAGTCATGGCACCTCCTCCTACCAACCTTGGATCAGAATCCTCCTCAACCTAGCACTCCAGCAGCCATCACTTGAACTCATGAAGGAAATAAATCCTATTTGTTGCCTCTGAGTCCAACCATGTCGTTTTACCAGAAAGGAAGTAGGTTTAGAGAGAGGAAGTGACTTGCCTAAGGTCACAGCCAGTTAGTAATGATGCAGGGGATTTAAGGTGAAAGTTTGGGAAATGGGCAGCATGAAGAAGCCTAGTAGGACCAGCATCCAGACCACAACTCCCAGGCCAGCCTCCTCCCACCCACTTCAGCTGTTCTGAAGCTGACCAGCCTAACTGCAGGGTCCCAGGTAAGATATGTTCCCTTTCTCATTTGCAGCCCGCCCCTCCAAAGACAAGGAGAGCTTGAGTCAGGAGGCCAAAGCCAAGCTTCACGCTAACGCAGAGAACAAACCAGAAGGTGAGAGGATGATGAGACTGCTGGGTTTCCTCCTGCCACCTTCCTCCCTCCTGTTGGTCAGGGGCTGAGGCCTGCCTCCTGGCCTCTCGGAGCCAGTCAGCTGGAGCGATGATCTGGTGCCGCATGCCGGCCTCCTCCTTCCAGCGTCTTCCCTTTTTGCCGGGACTGGGGCCCAAAGGAGGCCCTGGACAGCTCCCTGCACACTCTGCTCTGATGGGGCAGGCCGGCCAACCCGGGTGTGTGTGTGTGTGTGTGTGTGTGTGTGTGTGTGTGTGTGTGATTGAAGTCCCGCTTCTTTTTCACTAAATCTCATCCCAGAGGAGACTCTATTGGCCTCTATTTCTTCTTCCTGTCACTTCTACACAAGGACAGTGCTGTTAGGGATTGGTCTGAGACCAGCAACACCAGGAGGGAAGGACACCAGAGGTCCAGTGATAGAGAAGTGTAGCATCCCTCTGGCAGCTGGGATGGAGGGAGTGAGCGAGCTACTGGCCTGTGAGCGCTGCACAGCAAACCAGGCCTGCCTAATGCACTCAGCAACCCCTGGAGGGAGGGAGAGCAGTAGCCATTCTCCCCATTCTACAGACAAGGAAACCCCAGCTGAGAGGTCGAGTGACTTACCTAAAGCCGCAGAGCCAAGAAGTGAGAGGGCCTCTTCCTAAACCCAGCGTTCCAGGCTTTCCGAGTCGCTCTTCCCTGCAATACTATTTCAAGGCGTCCAAGCTGCTGCCTTTGAAGTCACCAGGACCCTTTCCGTGTAGGTGGTAGGGGGAAGGGTCAGACCTTGAGGGTGGGGGCTTTGCTGTCTTTCTGGTCTCTGTTGCCCAAGCTGCTCATAGGATGAAATGCTTGTGAATACAGGGGGAGCAAGGATGGCCACTCCCAGTTGTCCTCTTATCCGCAGCTGTCTCTGTGGACAGGGCAATAACAGCTCATATCAATCACATCACGTTACTTTTCCTTTCGACAAGAAATTCCCCAAACTTTCTGAGAAGCCGAGGTGGAAAAGGGCCATAGCCCCAGAGCCCCTCACACTAGCCTCTGGCAATCGCCCTCGGAACCTGGCACACTTTTCTGACCTATTCCTGGTTTATCCTTTAAAGAGGAGGAGCCAGCCCAGCTTCCTGCGGTCACAGTCACGCCAGCCCCCGATCCAGATGTCAAGGGAGATCAGGAGGAGGAGGATCCCGGCGGTCAGGTAGGCACCAACCTCTTTCTAGGTGGGGAAATTTAAGAGGCCCAGGAAAGGACTTGCTGGCCCCAAATCCTTCCTTCTTGAAGGTCTGAAATGCTATTTGAGGTTCATTCCTCTGAGGTAAGCATGGCCCTTTCTGTGAAAATCACGTACCTCATGGGGCCAGTTAATTCACATTAACACCTCAGTATGAGTGACATATTATATATGAGACTGTGTTGTCAACTGTCACATGCTGTAAAAACATAAGGAGTAACTGTCAGGGGGCGCCTGAGTGGCTCAGTCGTTAAGCGTCATGATCCTGGAGTCCCGGGGTCAAGTCCCGCATCGGGCTCCCTGCTCAGCCGGGAGTCTGCTTCTCCCTCTGACCCTCACCCCACTTGTGCTCTCTCTCTCTCAAATAAATAAATAAAATCTTTTTTTTAAAAAAAGGAGTAACTGTCAGGGGGTTCTGCAGAGGGGAGGGTTGCTGGATACATGCCTTGGAACCCCTGAGGTTTGTCTACAGGGCTTCCAGAGTCCTGCCGCCGCTGTCTTTACGGCCACACAGCCTCTTCTTCCACCACGCTCCAGCCAAACTGGGCTCCTTGTCTCTATGTTTTTCTCCCTCCAGGCCTTGGTTTCCTCCCCTTCAGGATACCCCTTCCCCTCTGCCTTCATATCCCTCTCACCCACCTCTCCAGGCCACTCTTCATGCCCCCGTGCCCATCAAGTTTTCCTGGCCCCCCACCCCCCTCTAATGAATGAATGCCCGTTGTACTTGGTCCCTGTCTCAGGGCTCCTATCACTGCCTTCCCCTTACTCTATTTAGGAGTCTCTCTTAGTTCTCCTGCTAGGTGGTGAGGTTCCTGAGGGCAGGATGCACGTCTGAGTTGTCTGTCTCTCTCACAGAGAGAGATGCAATGCCTGCATGCACAACTGTGGTCAGTAAGGGTTGAGTAATGACAGTAAATAAGCATTTCGTTTACAAGTTCCATCCCTGTTTTTTTCTGTTTGACACAGTCAATTATATCTCATCCTTAAGCCAGCAACTTTGGGTTTAGGGTCTAAGACATCTTGATGGTATCATGAATGTCCTGAGTACACCCATTACAGCCAGCTCAAGTGAAAGGGATTAAGAGGATACAGAGGTATCTCCTGGAATCCCAGGGCAAGATCGGTCTCACAAAGAACTGCACCTAGGCCTGAGCAGATATCTGTCACCCTAGTGGCTTCTCACTCTCTGTCTTGCTCTCCCTTAGGTCCCTTTCTCTGTGTGCAGGCTTTATCACTCAGCTTCGTCTGGCAGCCTGGCTTCATTTGCTTTCTTATGGGCACACACAACCCTAAACCCCAACACGGGGCCTCCAGTCCACAGGGGGATCAACCAATGACTGGCTCCCAGTCTCAGAAGAGAATCTCTTCAAACTAGGTCCCAGGTCAGGGATCCAGCCTGTGTCCAATCAGCTATGGCAGGGAGTGGTGGGGTGCTTTGACTCCAACATGGAAAAAAAGAGCCACCCGTTCAGAGGGTGTTAGGTGTGACAGTTCTTAGAGAAAAGGGTGCAGGCTGGGCAGACACTCCCATATCTATGGATTTAAATGACTTGTCATCTCCTCCAGGAAGCCTTCTCTCCCGATGGGTTTGGGGGAGGGAGGGCAGGAATTATTTCAGACTAAAATCTTCTCATTTGTTTCCGATTCAAAGCACAGGCCTCATGAATATTAATTTTTGACTACTACATCAGGGGTGTACAACTCGGGTTGCATATTAGAATAATTTGAGGAACTTTAATCAATGCCCAGACCTCACCCTCAACCAATTAAGTTAGAGTATCTGGGGTGGATCCTTGGGCGTGAATGTTTTTAAAGCCTCCGGGTGATTTTAATATGCAGCGGAGTTGAGACTCACTGAGCATCCCTTGGAGGTTGCCTGTGTCATGAAATTTGTTACAGATGACATACTCCATGGGCACACAGCCCAGGTCATTTGCTCAAGGGACTGGCCAGGCATGTTGTTATAGGGTAGTTGGGTGCCTAATCTGTGGACACTCAGAATCAGTGGCTTTTAGATTACATATGGAGTCAGTCCCTGGTGCCCAAACAGTGGTCTGCAAGCAGATGTATTAGGAGCCCTTGTGAGCACGTTAGAATAGATTCCTGGCTTCTCATCACAGAAATTCTAATTCAGTTGGTCCAGGTGGGGCTCAGACATCTGTATTTCTTTGATTTTATTAATTTATTTTGCAAACAGTATTTCTACTAAGCTCCCCAAGCTACGCAGCTTTGAGAACCAAAGATCTCATTCAGCCTTGGCAATTGCAAAGCAGGGTGGCTTGGTGGTTAAGAGGCTGAGAGTTGGACTATCCATATTACAAAGCCCAACTTTATCGCTTACTAAGTGTGTGAACCATGGGCAAGTTATTTAACTACTCTGTACCCTAGTTTCTCCATCTGTTAGATGGGCTTAATTCTGTCTATATCATAAATTAATTGACTCATGAAACACACTAAGTGCTATTATTATTTAAGCCACTTAGCATAGTGCCTGGCACATAAAAACCCCCCAGAAAGTAGGTATTATCATCATCATTTTATACATATAAGGTAATATGACAATTTAGGAGTTTTAGTAGACTCAGCAATGTAGCCACCAAAAGATATGCCATATTAGGCAACATTAATGGGAGCAGGTATCTAAGAAAGGGAGGTGATAGTCCTATTCCACTCTGTGTGGTGTTCTGTGTTCAGTTTTCGAAGCTTCCTCATGGGGTATAAACTTAACTAGAGTGAGTTCACCAACATGGGGAGGAGGCTCCAGGCCATAGCATGGAAAGATGGAAGGACCTGGGAATCTCTAACTCAGGGACAAAAGCTGTTTTGTGGAAGAGTGATTAGCTTTGTTCTGTGTGGCTCCAAAGAGCCAACCTATACACAGAGGGTAGAACCTTGTTATAAATCTGGACTTTAATCAGAGTTGTCAAGATGCAGAAGCCACCAGAGGTGGTGAGTTTTCCATCCCTGAAAATGATCAGATAAAGACAGGACAACCACCAGGTGGGAATGTTGGGAAGGGAATTTTACTGAATGACTGTACTAGTTTTCTCCTCATATTCAAGTTTTTAGATCCATTCTGAGAACAACAACAACAAAAATGGGGAAGAACTGGGAAGGAAAACAAGCAGAGCAGTTATTACACACTATCTGTTGCCTTTGGATTGCAGGAAGGAGATGTGCCTGGAGCTGAGAGCACAGGTGACGTGATAGGTGAAGAGGCTGAAACTCCTGATAGAGGTGAAAATGGACAACAAGGTGGAGGTGAAACTCAACTGGAAGGTGAAGGTGAAATTGAAGCAGAAGGAGAAGGAGGTGAAGATGAAGGTGAAATCAAAGCAGAAGGAGGAGAAGGTGAACATGAAGGTGAAATC